ATGCGATTAATCGTTTGACAGCACTAATATATATGTGTGTATATACAGTGGGTACGGAAAGTATTCAGACCCCCTTACATTTTTCACTCTTTGTTATATTGCAGCCATTTGCTAAAATCATTTGTTAATTTTTTTTCCTCATTAATGTACACACAGCATCCCATATTGACAGAAAAACACAGAATTGTTGACATTTTTGCAGATTTATTAAAAAAGAAAAACTGAAATATCATATGGTCCTAAGTATTCAGACCCTTTGCTCAGTATTTAGTAGAAGCATCCTTTTGATCTAATACAGCCATGAGTCTTTTTGGGAAAGATGCAACAAGTTTTTCACACCTGGATTTGGGGATCCTCTGCCATTCCTCCTTGCAGATCCTCTCCAGTTCTGTCAGGTTGGATGGTAAACGTTGGTGGACAGCCATTTTTAGGTCTCTCCAGAGATGCTCAATTGGGTTTAAGTCAGGGCTCTGGCTGGGCCATTCAAGAACAGTCACAGAGTTGTTGTGAAGCCACTCCTTCGTTATTTTAGCTGTGTGCTTAGGGTCATTGTCTTGTTGGAAGGTAAACCTTCGGCCCAGTCTGAGGTCCTGAGCACTCTGGAGAAGGTTTTCGTCCAGGATATCCCTGTACTTGGCTGCATTCATCTTTCCCTCGATTGCAACCAGTCGTCCTGTCCCTGCAGCTGAAAAACACCCCCAGAGCATGATGCTGCCACCATCATGCTTCACTGTTGGGACTGTATTGGACAGGTGATGAGCAGTGCCTGGTTTTCTCCACACATACCGCTTAGAATTAAGGCCAAAAAGTTCTATCTTGGTCTCATCAGACCAGAGGATCTTATTTCTCACCATCTTGGAGTCCTTCAGGTGTTTTTTTAGCAAACTCCATGCGGGCTTTCATGTGTCTTGCACTGAGGAGAGGCTTCCGTCGGGCCACTCTGCCATAAAGCCCCGACTGGTGGAGGGCTGCGTGATGGTTGACTTTCTACAACTTTCTCCCATCTCCCGACTGCATCTCTGGAGCTCAGCCACAGTGATCTTTGGGTTCTTCTTTACCTCTCTCACCAAGGCTCTTCTCCCCCGATAGCTCAGTTTGGCCGGACGGCCAGCTCTAGGAAGGGTTCTGGTCGTCCCAAACGTCTTCCATTTAAGGATTATGGAGGCCACTGTGCTCTTAGGAACCTTAAGTGCAGCAGAAATTTTTTTGTAACCTTGGCCAGATCTGTGTCTTCTGTCTCTGATGTCTCTGAGCTCTTCAGGCAGTTCCTTTGACCTCATGATTCTCATTTGCTCTGACATGCTGTAAGGTCTACTCATGGCTGTATTAGATCAAAAGGGTGCTTCTACTAAATACTGAGCAAAGGGTCTGAATACTTAGGACCATGTTATATTTCAGTTTTTCTTTTTTAATATATCTGCAAAAATGTCAACAATTCTGTGTTTTTCTGTCAATATGGGGTGCTGTGTGTACATTAATGAGGGAAAAAAAATAACTTAAATGATTTTAGCAAATGGCTGCAATATAACAAAGAGTGAAAAATTTAAGGGGGTCTGAATACTTTCCGTACCCACTGTATATATATATTACATTTATAATGATAGAATAAATAAAACTAGTATTTGTATTTCTAATTTTGGTAAGATTTTACTTAAAGCTTTTATGTATAATGTATTTTATTCATAATATACATTTTAATGCATTATATTTTTCTGTATTATTTGTAGGTCTGTTTGTCATGTGTTTTGATGCATTATACTTTCTAAAGGTGCAAAAATTAATAGATCAATATTATAATTTCAGTTATAATTATTCATGAGATCATGCAATGCATTATAACATGCATTACAATGCATAATGAATGCATTAAAACTACTTTTATTGTGCATTATATTGAAAGGTTTTAAGTAAAGTGTTACTGTTTTTTTTTTTTTTTCTTCAACTGAGTACATGAGAGAAAATGAGGGAAGAGTCAGTATTTGTCCTGTTGTATTCAACAGCATGATGTACAAAGATCATAACTTCTGTTTAGAATCTCATATGTGGGGCTGAATTTGTCAAATCTGAAGCGTCAATTATTATAGTTTGTGCCAGTAATCATAAGCTAGTTGCTAATAATTCTGTTATTGGCTGTTGTGGAGGATGTCGCTATGAAGAAGGCAGATCATTGGGTAAGAACACTCTGATTGGAATGCTTAACAAGCACCTTATTATTTCATATCTTCACGTCTCTCACAAACATATCTGTAATGAAAATGCTGTAAATAAAAGCCGGATTGTTCACAAAAGCACAAAGCATTTCCTGTGAGCCGCAATATGAAATTATCCATAACACAAACTGCATAGGCAATTTGTACCTTTAGTCAGAATTAATGTGTTTATTTTTATTCCTTTCCAAGCAAAGACAAACAAATCTGAATAAGTCATACGATTTTATGAATAATGTCTGTTAATTATTTATCAAAAGGAAAAGCAGGATGACAATCACATGATTGCTTCACCATTACACAGCTGAAAATCTCACAGTTTGCTTCTTATTTGGAGAGTGTTTTTTTTTTTTAATTGGCCATACGGTTATACAGGATTTGAATCTGAGGGAAAATAATATGCATCAATAAATCATGCAGCATCCTGGCAGGAGGACGCAAGGTGAAATCTGCCACGGAGAAATCGCTTTAGTTATGATGCTCATGTTGTGCATCCACACGGACACCAGCATAATCATTCCATCCCGTCTCCATTTCCACCTTTCACCCCCCTGCTATCCATCACTGACCCACTGTCCTCCACCTTTCCAGGAGCCGAGAGCCAGTATGTGTGTGTTTTGTGTCAGAAATGAAGGGACATCCAATCAGCTGTGTTCTTCTGTCCGCACAGAGATCCTTCTGCAGCGCCATGGTGGACGAGCTAAGGGTTTCCCTCAAGTGCCAGCGCCGGCTCAAACACAAGCCGCAGCCGCCCGTCATGGTCAAAACGGAGGAAGTCATCAACATGCACACCTTCAATGACCGAAGACTGCCAGGCAAAGAGACCATGGCTTAAAACGGACACCAGCTCACTCTTTCTTGAGCTTGGAGAAGGAAACTTCACGGGGAGAAATTTGGGCGGGGAGGAGGTCGGTTTTCTACACGGGGGGAAGGGATCTTAAATGTCATTTCAAACAATTATTTACTGAAACCAACAGCAGAAACTGAAACATATTTCCTGTGGAAATAACTTGAATCTGGGCAAAAGTTTAGTTACCTTATCGCTCCAGATCACCACCAGAGCAAAGACTGACCGGTGCCAGCGTTCAGGGTAACTTTTAGCAGGAAATACACACACACACGGCTAGAGGAGTGTGATAGAGGGAGGTTTGTCTGCTCACTACATTCATATTATTTTAGATTTGATGACACACTTGGCTGTTGTCCGTCCACAGAGAGCAGCTGAGTCCTTTAGAGAGAACGAGGAGACGCGTCCTGACAAATACAGAAGCAAAAGAAGGACAGTTTTTTAACACGTACAGTACCTGTGCTACTTTTAGGAGCAAAATATAAAAAAATAATTTTAAAAAAGTACTCGGAAACAATCAGTTCGCTGCAACTTTTGCTGCGCGCCACAGCAATATCTCTGAAATCATTCAGCGTGTTCCTCACCCACACTCACAAGCAATGGAAGCAGGACAGAGCAACAGGCAATATACCACTTTCATTTCTTTGTATTTTCGGGCCCCTTCTGAGCGTCGCAGTGGCTAAGGGTGAATCTCACAAAAACATGTTCGACCCAAAACAAATTTTGACCCCAAAAATGATAGAATCCATTATTTTTTTCAGGACCATTGCATTTTTGTGTTTATTTTAAGCTTAATTAACACATTGCACAACTTAATATTTCCTGTCCTTATTTGCATTACACTGCAAAAGATACCAGTTTTTGTTCTTTATTTACAGTGAAATATCTAAACATTCTTATAAATAAGATACCTTTATTGGAGAAGCAACATTTTATAAGATGAGGCTTAAATTGTCCGTGCATTTTTTTTTATTATTAATATTATTGTTTTTTGTTGTTTTAAATGTTAACCTCTCAGCTTTTAAATGTAGTACCGTAATGCATCTGCATATTTTCTTTTACACTTATTAGTGATTCTCATTACAGTATACAGTTATATTCTAGAAAATATACAGAATCTATACATCAGTAAGCATAAATTAAATAGTACAACAAATGATAAAAAACAACAAAAAAAGTATTTTTATATATTAAAATAGTGAGTTCTTTTTTTTTTTTTTTTAAGTAAAGAGGTAAATGTGTTTTGAACTGTCATGACAATAATATCACAAATAATAAATAAAAGTAATGGTCCTAAAATTGGCTTATTTTCATTTATGCTATCAAATATATAGATATTTATTTCTTTAATTTTAATTTGAGCTTAAAATATTACCTGCTATTAAAATTGAAACACATTTCATGAGATTCATGCGAAAACCTCTCCAAAAATTGGATGAGTGAACTCAAAACAAATTCCAACTATTGCGATGCGTTTATTCAAGCATTTATCATTTGGTTTACAAATGCTTTCTTTTTTCTTTCTTACTTTCTATGATGGTCACAGCAACTTTGAACACGCATAGCTGAAATGTAATATTTCATGTCTGCATTATTATTATTACTTTTTTAATAACCACATTTCATTTCAGGTTAATGTTTGTACTTTGTGAATTTGATTTCAGAAAAAAAAAAGAATCCTCATGTAAACTTGTGCAAATGTAAGATTTCTATAAAAACATAATAAGGTGTTTTGTACAATTAAAGAATATCAACATTTTGTAATAATTTTTATCAACACAATCATTGGCATCTCTCTCTTGATACGGGGGTGGCCGCCCTGTGGAATCCCCACACCAGAATTTTAGACCGATGCGCTTCTGCATGGATGAGCCCCATGTGACGGAACACATCCAGGATCACATCACCTGGCCTCCATGAGAATGAGTTTGCGCCAGGGTTCATGATAGGCGCACACAGGATGGGGGAAGTGCCAAGCATGGCTGGTAGTGTTGATGTGACAAACACACACATTTTGGACAGATCCTATTTTTATCATGTAAAGGAATCATATTTAAAGAAAGATATTTTTACTTGAGATAAATAGAAATGACAAAACTGATTCAGAAGTGTGATATATACATATATACAAAGTGAAGAGGACTGCTAATATGCTTCATATTCAATGCCCCCGGTTTCTAATAGACTGCTAGTACTCAGTGCCGAGACGTTGTGTGTAAATGGTTTCAAATGGATAAGATGTATTTAAAGATTTTTCAGATACAAACTAATTTTGACCATGTTGTGAAAAAATTAAGTGCACACAGTTTCCTGTCTGAAGTTGATGCACACGTTTAAAGGAAGTAATTAAAAAAAAGTCAGCACACTTGCTTGTGGTCTCCTTTGTTTTTCCTTAAATATATAAAATATATAAATATGTTTTTCCTTATAATGACCTCAAGGACATCCGATTATATATGTGAAACACCACTAATTTTGGACTTAATGCACTTCAGTTGTGCAGAAGTAGTGCTGAGGTCAGCACTGAGGTCAACTGTGTATATTTATTATGTATATATCATTATGTATATTTATTATGCATATATAAATACACACACAGTACATATTTTGAAAATATTTACATGTTTTTACATGTATATATTTATATTCATATTATATATAAATATATTTAATATACAAACAACATTTTTCTGAAATATATACATGCATGTGTGTATTTATATATAAATAATAAATATACACAGTATACACATATTATCTAAAAAAAAACTTTTATTTTGGATGTGATTAATCGCGATTAATCGTTTGACAGCACTAATTTTAATCATATAATATTTATTAATAGTGATATTAAAACACATTTTAGACATAATATTAAGAAATGTAAATTGTGCGTT